AAACTTTATTCTGGGAGTCGGCCCCTCAGACGGAAGCCCCATTCTTTCTCTCACAACCCACTCCTCCTGCTCCAACCATTCTCTCGAAGATTGATGGCTCCGAATTCGGATCAACCAACCTATCGAGAGTCTGATCGACGAGTCTGACAAGTCCCTCAACTATCTTCAATCATCCTTACCACCACTCTAATATACCACCGGTGCCTCCCTTACCGCCTCACTTTGCTCATCTCAATGGAAGCAATCAGCCCTCAGTCTCTCAAGCTCTACCCGTACAGTACTCTTCACTTACTCCTCAATCCCTTCATCAACGTCTCGAACAACTCCTCCAAGCCAAGTCACACGAAATTCAACTTGCTGGTCAGTTGGGAAACTCCTTACTTGAACAACAGGCTGAACTTGAACTAAGGATCTCCGAGCTCGAATCCACCGGTGCACTCGTCTCTGCCTCCCAACATAAATCCAAGACACGCGTCAGGGAACGTACCCCGGCCACTCCCAACCATTACGAAACTCAGGGCTTAGGATTTGAGTCACTGTCTGGCGAATCTACCGAAGCCAGCGAAGACGAATCAAACCCTGTTGACGAGGACGTTCTTCGCAAAGTTGAGGAGCTCGATGCCGCTATGAAACGCTGGCAAGAAGGAAACTCGGAGATCTGGCGCCAAGCTCGAGGTGAAGTAAGCACAACAGTATCCGTCTCAAATCCCCTTGATTCCAATTTTTGATCACGAATGACTCATCCCTTGTGATTTTGTTCCACATTTTCACTTCATCAAGCCTCCTGGAGTGAGCAGACCGTCCACACCCTCCCATAGTCCCAATGGTATGATGCCAATCACTCCACTCGGACACCATCCACCCTCGGCAACCACCCCGCTCACTTCCGATCCCAAACCAGTCCCGGTCAATCAGCAATGTCCAGCTACCGATCAATCCGTCAACCGGCGGGTTCGAAACACCCAACATCGGGCTAACGATATCGAGTTTGCCACAGAGATCGGACAGAGTCTACTGGGCGAAGTCCGTAGACTCCAGTCTCTTCTGGTGGTTAGAGACGATGAGCTGATGGAGATGAAGGAGGAGCGTGAAGGAC